AGAGCCTACCTAGACCTAGTCCCATCCCTTTAAATCTATTCTATTTGATCAAAGTCCCAAATTCTCCCTCTTCTCTTCCTTTCCTCCACTATTCTTCTTATTTAGGAAATTTCTTAATTCAAAAATGCATTAGACTGAGGCCCGAGTGGACTGTGAATAAGTGAAAAATCAAGGTCTGGTGGGTGGTAAACGTATTTTAGTTCTCTTTTCATGATGATCTTGTTGGGGGTTGGGGGAGAATAGATTATATTGGGTCAAGGCCATACCAAAACGCCTGGGTTACTCTGGGTTGTAGGCTGGGCTGGATTCTGAGACTTCAGGGATACAAAGAGAGACCTGAGAAATACCTGCTCCACTCAGTCACTTTGTGTCCTGTAGTCTTTCATTTGAAACTCTTTCCCCTGAATTAGGATTTTGTTCATAAAAGAAGCCCTGCGTTAACACATACAGTGCTTACCCAGAAGTCTGGGGATGTGAATTTTAATTCTGACCCTCAGTCTTCTTTCTCCTTGCATTCCTACACAATGATGGGGATGTGTTACCAGTGATAACTAACCTGTTAGGGATTATCAACCCCTGTGAATAACAGCAGGAAGTTACAAATTGCCTCAGTTCCCAAGTGCAGAAATATCATAAGATGTGGCTTTAAAGAACAGAAATTTATTTTCTCACAGTTTGGAAGTCTATAAGTGCATGTCAAAGATGTCAAAGTCTCAATCATGTGGCTTTCTTGTTGGTACCCCTGGGCATGTCTTGGTCTTGTGGAGGATTCTTGATGTTGTTATTGTGTGTGGAACCAACACTTTGCTGGTCCTGCAAAGCCCATCCCAAGCTGTTTGGAACTTATTTCAGGCCACCCAATGTTTCTTGATAGAAACTCAGACTAGTACCAGAAGTCAGACCCAAGGCATTGGGGGAGCCTCTCCCAATGAGACAGGAAATAGAGCAGACAGATGATTTCCTTTCATCTGGGTGGTTGTTTGGATGAAACATAAATGGAACAGGTGTGAAAGGGTTAAAGGGATTGATTGTTGGTGGAGATGGGTGTGGTGGGGCACGGCAGGCTGGGGGCCTCTAGGCCTTCTTTGTAACTTTTCTCTTAGACCCATAGTGTGGGCCCCCCCCCCTCTGCTGGCTGTTCCTCCGTGCAGGCCCTTTTTGTGGCCTCAGCTTTCCCCCAGTTTCAGGCATCATTTGTTCTCTGCTTCTTCCAAGGACATTGTGTTCTACCAGCTTGGTTAAGGTACCATGAGAGCTAGGATGAGAAGGGTATAGTTGCTGCCTTAAGGAGTTTACAGGGTTGAAAGATGAACATCTCTCTCTTTGAAAGGCTTTTTGAGTAGTGACTGAGGTGGCCAGGAACTCAGCTGAGGACTTAGAGGCCAGCTGTAGCACGGGAAAGGTTGGTTGGAGGTTGAAAGGACCACATGTATGGGCAGGTGACTGAGTGACGGAGAAAGTTTCCTGGAGGTGATTGCATGTGAAGCAGACTTTGAAGTACGCGAAAGATTTGAATGAAAAAGAAGGGCTCTTGAGGTTGGAGGAACTGCTCAAGCAAAGGAAAGGACAAGAGTAAGTTGAGACTATTACCACCTGGAATCCGTCATGGTCCAGAGCTAAGCCAGGGTTCAGCAGTGAAGGCTGGCCCTGGCTGACAAACGGTCACAGGAGTTGAGATGACCCTCCCTGACGTGTGCTTTCTCCTCCCACAGAGGCCATGCCGCTGAAACACTATCTCCTTCTGCTGGTGAGCTGCCAAGCCTGGGCCGCGGGCCTGGCCTACTATGGCTGCCCCAGCGAGTGCACCTGCTCCAGGGCCTCCCAGGTGGAGTGCACCGGGGCACGCATCGTGGTCGTGCCCACCCCTCTGCCCTGGAACGCCATGAGCCTGCAGATCCTCAACACACACATCACTGAACTCGACGAGTCCCCGTTCCTCAACACCTCGGCCCTCATTGCCCTGAGGATTGAGAAGAACGAGCTGTCCCGCATCATGCCTGGGGCCTTCCGCAACCTGGGCTCGCTGCGTTACCTCAGTCTCGCCAACAACAAGCTCCAGGTGCTGCCTCTCGGCCTCTTCCACGGGCTGGACAACCTTGAGTCGCTCCTCCTCTCTAGCAACCAGCTGGTGCAGATCCAGCCCGCCCACTTCTCCCAGTTCGGCAACCTCAAGGAGCTGCAGCTCCACGGGAACCACCTGGAATACATCCCCGATGGCGTCTTTGACCACCTGGTGGGCCTCACCAAGCTCAATCTGGGCAAGAACAGCCTGACCCACCTCTCCCCCAGGGTCTTCCAGCATCTGGGCAACCTCCAGGTCCTCCGGCTATTTGAGAACAGGCTTTCGGACATTCCCATGGGAACTTTTGATGGGCTGGGCAACCTCCAAGAACTGGCCCTCCAGCAGAACCAGATCGGAATGCTCTCCCCAGGCCTCTTCCACAGCAACCCCAACCTCCAGAAACTCTATCTGTCCAACAACCACATCTCCCAGCTGCCCCCCGGCATCTTCATGCAGCTGCCCCAGCTCAACCGCCTGACCCTCTTTGGGAACAACCTGAAGGAGCTCTCCCCGGGGGTCTTCGGGCCCATGCACAACCTGCGGGAGCTGTGGCTGTATGACAACCACCTCACTTCCCTATCTGACAACGTCTTCAGCAACCTCAGCCAGTTGCGGGTCTTGATCCTCAGCCGCAACCAGATCAGCTTCATCTCCCCAGGGGCCTTCAACGGGCTGAGGGAGCTCAGGGAACTGTCACTTCACACCAACGCGCTGCAGGAGTTGGATGGGAACGTCTTCCGCACTCTGCCCAACCTGCAGAACATCTCCCTGCAGAACAACCGCCTCCGACAGCTCCCGGGGAATATCTTCGCCAACGTCAATGGCCTCATGACCGTCCAGCTGCAGAACAACCAGCTGGAGAACCTGCCCGTGGGTATCTTCGATCACCTGGGGAATCTGTGCGAGCTCCGGCTCTATGATAATCCTTGGCGGTGTGATTCAAGCATCCTCCCGTTCCGAGACTGGCTCTTGCTCAACAGGGCCAGGTTGGGGACAGATGCCCTCCCCGTCTGTTTCAGCCCCGCCAACCTAAGAGGCCAGTCCATTGTCATCGTTAACATCAACGCCCCTACCCCCAGTGTCCACTACCCCGATATGCCCAGCTACCCAGAAACACCTCGGTACCCGGGCACATCCAGCTATCCTGAGTCCACTTCCACCTCCTATACCAGCGACTTCACCAGCCCCGTGGAGGACTACACGGATCTGACCACTATCGAGAACACCGATGATCGCAGCACATGGGGCATGACCCGGGCCCAGAGTGGACTGGCTATTGCAGCCATTGTCATTGGCATCATTGCCCTGGCCTCCTCTGTGGCTGCCTGCATCTGCTGTTGCTGCTGTAAGAAGAGGGGCCATACGGTCCTGATGCAAATGAAGGCGCCCAATGAGTGTTAAGGAGGCCGCCTGGAGGCAAGGCAGGGCGCTGGTGGGGCCTGGGAATCAGGCAGGTGGGCATTCCATCATTCTGCCTCTACTTCTGTGTCGAAAGAGCCATCCCCAACCCTTCTCTCTGAGAAGATCTGAGAGCAAGGAAGTTGCTGTCTGATTCTCCTGTAGAGAAGCAGGTCTTGGAGGACTTTCTTGTCACCAGGGAGATCAAGGCAAAGCCATGAACATTTCCACCTTACATCAAATAAGACCCTTCAGATCCTCCATACCTCAAGCCCAATAACAATGTTCCCACGGCCCATGCCACACCTGGCCTCTGTAGACCCAGCCCTTACAAAGCCTGCTCACTTTGTGGGAATAGTTCTCTGCCAGGAATATCCCCTCACCACAAAGTATTATGTACTTTTATTTCATTTCTCTTGCTGCTCTCTTTTATGCTATGGCTCTACCTTGTCTCCTTGAATGAAAGCCACCTCTACCCTTTGCCCCCATCCCTATGATTATATTGCTCCTGAAGGCAGGCAGGGAGGATGAGTTCTTCCCTCAGAGAAGCCTTCAAGCCAGCTTTCAAGAAAGAAAGGAGCCCTGGGGGTGTTGAATGTTGGGATGCTAACCACAAGGTTAATAGGTCGAGTCCAGCATTTGCTCCCAGATAGAAAAATGAGGCTCTGAGGGAGAAAGATAGGTATTCTCCTCGCTTGAAGACTTGGAGCCTTGGAAACCCATGGAGGGTTCTGTGAGTTGGAATCAACTCAGAGACAGTGGATTTGTTTTGAGGGGGGTTTTGGGGAGAGAAGGAGAAGTGATGCCTTTCAGTTCCCAGAGGGGAGCCACACCTGCAGGGCCCTTGTGATGTTTTTCAGGAAGACGAGCAACATCAATCCACAGGTTTGCCTACAAGGAAATGGTAGCTCTGAACGGTGACTTAGCTTTGGAAATTTTGGCCCTTAAAGGACTAAAATAATGCAATAAAATGTCTGACCTCTAAAGATATTAAGATTAGCTTATTGTACTGGATGAAGAAAGAAAGGGAGCACCTTGGGATTCTTGTGTTCATCCTTAGAACGCTTCTTTCCTTCTTATTGAAAGATAATGTACGTATAAAAACATACGAATATGAGAATGTAAAGCTTCACCAATTTTCAGTAGCTGGACAAACTCATGGAATCAGTGTGTCCAGACTTTTAAAAAACCCACACAGCAAACACCAATCTGAACGGCTCCAGTATCTGCCGCACTGGGGGCTGGTATCCGAGAGGACAGAGTGCACACAGTCCACACTGTTCTTGGAGATGATGGCATGGACTTCTCTGAGAACTGGCTCCTCCCAGCGTCCACAGCCCACTGTGTCCAGTGTGAGGGGACCAGGAGAAGAGATGGGTATACCTGTGACCCGGACAGAGACAATCAAGCAACCAGCTCCTGTTTGGCTGATCCTGACTCTGGGGAACCCCATGTATGCCAGGGTGGAATGGCTCCTCAGGGCATTTCAGTGGCTGATCTTTCAGAAATAGATCACCAGGCCTTTCCAGCAAGGCATTTCTAGTAGGATTCAAACATAGCTCAAATCCTTTTTCTGTGTTAGCAGCCAAGCTTGTTAACTGTTGGTACCATGCAGGGACCCTGGACAAAGGGCTTTATTAAATCCAGAGGCTGGGTCTGAAGCATCCTAACTAGACAGCCCCGTGCAACCACACACGTCTCCATGCCAGTGAGCTGTCTGGTGCTCCCTGGAATCCCTCAGCCCTGGCCTTTTATGGGCATGATATGCCTATATCTGCTTCTAATTTTCATTCTCCATTTAGGGAAAGCAAAATAGCTCAGAGATGAGAACCTTTAATTGAACAACCAAGTGTAATGGAACCCAGCAATCCTTCCAACCCTGAGGTTAAGTTCTTCATCGGCGTTACAGTAAATGAGCAGCTGATCTTGATGTCATCTGGGAGATGACATCAGGAGACACAGATGGTCACCCTGGGTCTGGGGGCTCTCTCACTGGTGCCTTCTGCTGGTGGTCTGGTGACAAGAGTGGAGTTGGCTGCTCTCAGGGGAAACACCAGTTGCCAATGAGTCAATTCCAATGCAGCGACCCACCCATAGGAGATGTCTGAACAGAACTGTACTCCATGGTGTTTTCAGTGGCTGGTTTTTCAGAAGTAAATCATCAGGCTTTTCTTGTGAGGCGCCTCTGAATGGACTTGAACTGCCAACCTTTTGACTAGCACCTGAGCATGTGAACTTCCCAGGGACTCCTTGGTCCAGGGTGGTTCTCCTCCATTTACTGGGTGAGCATGTGAATACCTGCCCTTGTGTCCCTTTCTGCCACATATATTCATATACTGATAAAATCATTATGTTCATGACAATTCGAGTCTTTCTCTGAACAAACTGACCTACCAGTTTAAAAGTAAAAACAGTTGTGAAGCAGAATTTGACTTCAGATCAATGAGTCTGCCCAATAAGGAGCTCCAGCCAACTCAACAGGAATGTGGAAATCCGCCCTCAATCTCCATGAGCCTTTATCAGCTCTTCTGCTCCGCATGACAGAGAGGCCCTCAGGGGCCTAAGCAGAGTGAGACTAAAGGCATGGCTGGCTTCCCCTTCAGTCTCCCCAAAAATGATCTAGGGAGGGATGCTTATCAGAACCAGGGTAGGTGGTAGTTTTTCTCTGTGTTCCCAGGAATTTGAGAGAGGTGAGGACTATTGTAGTTTGGTGTTTTTTTTTTTTAAAAAAAAAAAGATACCGCCTTCTTTGGGCAAAGCTGGGTCCTCAAATTGTTCTCGAAATACTTGTAGCTATCTAGTGGATGTGTTCTGAGGCTTGCCAGAGCCCCACAGAAGGGGAGCCCAGAGCTTGGGGTGCGAACATCACTCTACTGAACTCCATTGATCCTGGACCACAATTCTGGCCTCTTCTCGAAGCCGGAGACAGGGCTTGGCTCCATCTTCCTCATACCTAGAACTCGCAGGTGCTTCTTGTGAGGATGGCCCAGCATCTTATTCAGCCAGGGCCAGAAGAGGCTGAAAAGGAAAGAAAGATCCTCTTCTTCAAGTGTGCCCTGCTAAGCTCAGTCCAGAAGCCCTGTGTAATTCCAACACTGTGGCATGATAGGAATGTGCTCTTTGGCCCAAGATATCACCGCACATCTCCAGGTTATAGACTGCATCAAGGCAGACGTCCTCAATGATTCCATCAGGCGCCACCTCCCTGAACAATCCTGAGCACTTTACCAGCCATTCTGAACTTGTCTACTCCCTACTCATGTCACAGTGGATGGGATGGACCCAGAAACCAACCACATTGTCTGGCCATGGAGAGACTGTAGAGGCTGGGCAGAGTCTCTTTTGTAATAGAAATGATGCATTTCCATCTGACCTTGGGGCCTAGAATTACCCACTTAGACCCTGAAAGGTTGAGTAAAGTGGACATTTCCATTTGCTTCTCCTTTCTCTGCTTTTACTGGCCTCTAGGCCACCATCCCAGCAACCATCCTCCACCAAGAGTGGGGTCAGCACTGGAGGAAAGATAGTAAAAGTCAATTAACACCACTGTTTGAATTTTTTTTTAAGTGCTTACTCTGCGTAGATATAATCTTTGCTGCACATTCTCATTTAACCCTCAGAATGGCCCTGTGATATGAATGCAATTGCTTTGCCCTGAGAGAGTACAGACATGTTTGTTCTACTGCAACTTTATTCAATAAGTGTGATTCTTACATCTCTTTTCATTTTTTGAGCAAGCTCCTGTAGCCTGTCTTGACCTTTCATCATTAAATCAGAGAAAGTGGGTGTCACACTCTTGTTGCTCACCACGACTTAGGTACTGAAACCCCACTTAGTTCTGTATGTATCCAAAACATTGTAAATACAGGAAGAGATTAAACCCATCGGTGTGTTGAAGAAAAACTGGCCAATGCCATGGAAATGATTGAGGCTGTGTATGTAGTAGTCCTCCTGCATAAATGAAGCTCTCGGGAATATCCCCGGGTCCTTTTTTCATGGGTAACAATGCATTTGCCTTTCATATGTCAGTGTAAAAACAGGGCCGAGAATCCTAACCTTTAGCTGTAAACCACTCAAAGAACCCAGTCCACAGATCTCATGGTTCAACCAGACCTAGGGAGCTAGGGAGACATTGATGGTCTTGGGATGAAGGCATCTCCAATCCCCAGATTGGAAATTAAGAGATGGTGGACTGGCAGACTGCTTCTAGATGAAACTCTTCTCGGGTTGAAGATTCTTTTTCTAAAGAGAGATTTTTTTCTCACCAGCCCCTTGCCTTCACACTACCTTTTAAAATGTGTTTAGCATAGAAAGAATCATTGTGGAAAGTCCCAGGTGCTTGGCGATGGGTTTAGTGACTTATAGGCCCATGGGGTTTCATGGAGTATGAGCCCTGGTGGGCAGGAATGGGGGCCTGTCTTTTGCTGATGCTGCTTGTAACAGATTTGGTGTACAGAATAAACAATAAAAGGTAGATATGGCCCATGTGTGCATTCCCTTGATGCTGGGGTCTAGGGGATGTCACAGATCTGATTCTGTTCTTGCTGCGTGTCTGTGGGGCCAGCTTGGGAAGCATTGCACAGGGAAGGCTCTAAGCTGAGAAAAGGCCTTTTGGGAAGTAAGTGAGGGCCAGAAAGGAAATAAGAAATAATAGCTAGAGACCACCGTGGCTGGATGAGGTGTTCAACCCATAATATAGTTGGACTGGAAATTATTTCATTTCCGCAGTCACACAGTAGGGATCTCTGGTGGCAGAGTCCACAGGGAATTACAATGCGAACCCAAGGCTGCATCACCCTGGCAGTTCAAATCTGTCAGTAGCTCTGTGGAAGAAAGATGGGCAATCTCCTCCTATGCAATTTACAGTCTCAGGAACCCAATGGAAGGTGAGCTCTGAGCAGGCTGATTCCACAGCAATGGGCGTGAGGGTGGGTCTCCAGACACCAGGCTGGAGTTTCTCTGACGTCACCAGAGTTCTTTCAGTGTTCATCCAACACTTCCAT